GAGCTCAATGTTTTGCCAAACCATAAGAGTATAGTGGGCTCTAAGCGAGTGAAAGGAAATCTGAAGTGTCAACAACTGAATGATAACGAGGACCACAAGAACACATCCAATGGGAAGCATCCAGTGGTGAGCAGACGAGTCAGTTTTGATCCGCTCGCCCTTCTCTTGGATGCCGCTCTGGAGGGAGAGCTCGAGCTCGTCAAGAGAACTGCCAAAGAAGTGAGTTCTTCCTGTCCCTCATATTTGTTATTTACGGCTACCAATACATTACAGACGATAATTGATTGTCAAACACTTCATGAGAGCTGTGATTAGTTAATCAATAATAGCCTATCTATGCGTTTGGCGTAAACTAATGTCTATTTTATATATATACTCCACAAAATTTTAATGAAATTCATTGAATTTGTTGTCTCAGGCTTCACTTAAATTAATGTTAAGTCTAAACATAAAATTCTCGTTTAAAAGCAGTTATTTATGAGAAAACAGTGTTAAAGAGCTCTTTATTTGTTGCTTATATAGAGATTTCTATTAAGATAATGAACTTAACTGTCAGTTTAGGAGTTGTTGCATAAGAATATTGCTTGCCTACTGTACGTAATATGAATATTATTTAATTATGTTGCATATGCTGTACATCCAGGTGCCAAATCCTAGTGCTGCTAATGACGAAGGCATAACAGCACTGCATAACGCCATATGCGCCGGTCATTTAGATATTGTCGTATATCTCGTCGACAATGGATGTGATGTGAACGCACAGGACAGCGATGGCTGGTATGTATCACTGACACGACAACTAATTAATTCACTTTAACTCAGCTTTTCGGCGAATTTTGTCAAAATTCTTATCCCTCATCTGATTCTGTAATTAATTTTCTAATTTATAGTAAAAAACAAACGAAAAAAGATTTTGAAAACTATTATCTGTTACATAAATCATGACTTTAATGAGAACTCAAACTGTGTTTGTTTTATACATTAGAAGTAAGAGTTGTGGGATTGGGATCTCGGAATCAGTTGTGAACACAGACTCATGTCATTAATTAACTATAAATAAAAGCGTTTAGAACTAACTCACAATTATTGCATTGTTTTACTGTTATATATGTATTGATTATAAATTTCCGGATAGTCGAGGCCGACAATACACACAGAGTTAGTACAATGTATGATATTTTTTGTTTCAAACCGCTATTACTGTTATACGGTAATAGTGGCGGCAGTTATCCAGTTATCAAAAAGCAATTTATATCCCGAATAACGTAACGTTAAAATGCATATAATTTATGTGTATTGCAGTGAAGTGTCTTTTGAATCATTAAATTGTCTCAAACTGTTGTTCACGACATTTGGATTTTATACTCCTATCATATATTTTACTTTTTTATTCTCTGCCGTCAATACACATACACTGCAACGATATTCTAGTATTGCATTCACTTTGTGTTTGGCAATAGATTCTCGTGTTTCCATTTCATTCAATTCAGACAATAGTGCAAAGGGTCGCCAAACTAACAAATATTACTCTTATATCTATCCGGACATGTATTACTGTTGCTGTGAAGTGAATATACATTTTCAATAAACTTCATCTTTTATATAGCACTCCATATATTGTAGTTTGTATTGTGAGCACAAATTCTCTAACTTTATTCTTGTATTTATTTTTGTTTTTAATACTTTGCAATATACTTAGGATTTATATGTTGCGATATACATTTGTTATAAATCGATAAAATTCTCTATTATTTTAAACAATATTTCAAAAATAAATTAATACCTAAAGGGTAGTATACTGTAAAATATATACTTTTGTGTTTTTTAGATTTTTGTTTTAGTTTTAGTTTTGTTAATAGCATTTAGTTATTATTTTGTAAATAGTTTTATATTTCTTATCTCACATCAAAAGAGAGCGAAAGTTTTTACTCTTAAGAAATACATTGAAGTAATTTTAGGCAATAATAGAAAAAGTAATTAATTTTTTTAGAGAAGTCTATTCTAACTAAACTTTGATTTTATGCTCCGTTTGTTAACAGTAAATAAGATTTCAGTATAAAATTAATTTCATGCAAAACTCTTTTTATTACGTTATAATTATCGTTATTATTATGCACCTGCACTTATTATGGCTTGTATAACATTAAAAGTAATTATATATCTGTGCAGTTATCTCAGCGTATGTTTAATCCAAACATTTCTTATTTAAATTCACTGATTCTGTAATTAATTTTTGACTCAAAAACTTTCCTATGAATGACTAAAATATTAATAACTGTAATTTTATCATGTATTGTAAACATAATATATAATTAAACGTGTGATTGTGCGTGTATTAGGACACCCCTGCATTGTGCTGCCTCATGCAATAACCTGTCCATGGTGAAATTCCTGGTTGAGAAGGGCGCCTGTATTTTCGCCACCACTCTGTCGGATAAGGAAACGGCTGCCGAGAAGTGTGAAGAGGATGAGGAAGGATTTGACGGCTGTTCCCAATATCTTTACGGTACGTGCCGTTTGCGGTCTTAACTCTTAAGTTGTATTTTATTACCCATGGGTTGCAAACTGTCGTCTCACTCGCTATTATTGGTATCGGAATTAATGACTTATAAAACTGATGTGTGTTTAACAGGCATTCAAGAGAAACTGGGAATTTTGAATTCAAATCAAGTCTACGCTGCCTATGACTACGAGTCTCAAAATACTGACGAACTTAGCTTTAAAGAGGGAAACGTTATGACAGTCATCAGGAGAGGCGATGATCAGGAGCGCGACTGGTGGTGGGCCAGGGGTGACGACCAGGAAGGCTATGTGCCCCGCAATCTGCTCGGAGTAAGTTATTTATATACTGTATATAGATTGCAGAGTCTGTAATCAGGTTATTGTGTAAATGCCTAACATTTGGACAATTTATTGTTATTATTATGAACACATAATAGCATATAATATAATGTTATTAAATGTATATTTGACTATAAATTCTCATTTGGTGTCTATTTTGACAGTTGTATCCGAGAGTCAAATCCAATAAAGAGCTTCAAACCATTGCTGAAGAACACAATGAATGACTTCAATAAACAGTCTTATGATGACATGAATGGCTCGATTCCGTCCAATACATACCTAACTGTGATTAGGCTATAGTTGTATTAATTAGTATTATTAAAGATTCTCAATAATCAGTGCCTTTACTACTATTATCAATAATATCTGATGTTTTAATTTAATTTACATTTCATTAATATTTGCAATTATTATCACATTTATTTTATTATTATTGATATTATTATTAAATTAAGTTTTATTTAAATGTTTAATTTAAAAATAATTGTGAATCAATTCATTCCATTTTATTATTAAATATCACGATTCATATGAATATATAAATATATTATATAATTTATAATGAAATACACTTTTCATTGATTTAATTTTTGAATAATAAAATAGTTTAAACAAAAAAATTGCTTAAAATTTATTATAACAATCAATACCATAAGTTAAATAAA